TATCTTTATGAAAGAGGCGCGTGTGGCGCATTGGTCAGAGGCGCCCTGCAACACACACGTGGAATAGAACCCCACGCCCATGGCACACCAAGCCTTCCATCCATCCGGGGTGGGCAATTGGTACCAGCCTTGTCTAGAAGGATAGCAGCACTGGCTCGATACATCGATAGGCCACTGCGAGTCATTGTAAAGACCAGATATGCATTCAATCACCTCCAGCGACACTTAATGAAGTCGAATGTATGTCGCGTCCCTCATGGATTGATCAACGCCACGAGCTCTATCCTCTATTACTTTACGATCCGCTGGTCTGCCTTCACGAATACTTTGCTGATCCTAATATTTCTTGCATTCGAACCGATTCCTGTACTTCCAACATCCACGACTTTTTTCGCTTATGAACTCGGCTACTCTTTAAGGATTTCATTCTTTTCGTTACGATTGTCGTCGAAAGCTGGTTAAGTTGTTTCTTCCTGGAGTCCTAGGTTACCCAAGCTAGGGAGCTCTCACAGGTATTGCGCGGATTCCTGACTACGGAGGGATAAGGGGCTTGATAAACACCGCACGGGATCAAACCAGCACTGTACTCGTGACGAACGATGCCGCTGTTATCGTTATTTGAGGCAATCATTTCGTTCTTCTATTGTGATTCTAAACGTTGGCCACAATTCTTCGCAGAAACCTGTCAAAATAAGAATGGCAGCCATTGTGATCCGATAGAGGGCAAAGTTGGCAGGTAGTCACGTAAGGAGGAAGGTATGGAATTTGTTGTAAAACTAACCTGATTGTTGAAAGTATGGAAAACGTCATCTTGCCGTGTTATGACTCGATAGCGAAGGTCTTCCAACTGCTGTCTCTTTTTATGAGCACCACCGACTATGTCCTTGAAGCTGATGAATATAATCCAGCTTGGCGCTTTCGAAGTGTCACACTTAAATTTTTTTGTAATGTACCAATATACCAGAGTAATATTATCCAAAATCAGACTTTAACCTTGTTTTCTTTAGAACTCGCTGTAGAAACTGTTTGTTCAGATTTAGACCGTTGTTCTTCACTTTCGCTCTGATCTCCTGTTGTGTGAATAAAGTTATTTTTGAGAGCATAGCAGACAAAAGGGAAAGGAGTATGAGAGTAAAAGTTTGGTTCTATTTCGTTGCTTTTAAGAATATTCCAATTTTTTTGTTTTTACTACTACTATACCGAGAAAATTATGTTGAAATAGAGAAACTTCAAAGCTATTTCCGGTCTAAAAACTTCTTCCTTCTAGGGACACGAGATCTCAGTTAACTTGGACTTTCACAGCTTATTGTTTTTCCTTTTCTTTGATTATCTTCACAAACAAAGAAGAAAGCATTTGTTCCAGTGTTACCATCAGCCGGGTCACAGTATGCCAGTACAATAGAGGCGGCTACTAGTATGATAATTCACATCCCTCAATATTCTGATTTCAATAGGTCCACAATGAAAAGAAGTCTTGGGATTTACGCCTGCTCCGCAGTCTTCGAAGCACAGGTAACCTATTCATTCTCACATTTCAATTAGAGTGATTGCGATTACAATAGAAATGCTAAATACTTACCATGAAGAAATTTTGTAGTACTTTCTAGCGTGAATTCTTCATTAGTGTGATCCATTGTTCGAGGATTACATAATATTCGAGCAGAGTACTCGAATGTTCGAATACCCTATATTATGCGGGAAATTTCAGATAATGTCAGATGTAAACCACTAACACTTTTTTGGCCCGAGAAATCTTTGGACTTGAGTTTTCTTAGTACCTCGTAAGTTTCTTGTTTAACATAGACCTTTTCATCCCTTGTGAAAGATTCTTTAGGTCCAAATTTTCAGAAGAACTCTGTTTCACAGATATACTTACATACAACATACAACGAAGCATAAAAAAATGCTTGCTGTTAGTGGTGGTGTCGAAGCGCATGATATTCCTTCACCACTACCTTCTAAACATCATTGAATTTCATAACGAATTTGCACACCTGCCTTACAAATGGTGGTACAAATGGTTTCATTGACAGGCATATCCTTTGCTAGATGATTCACTAAGTGTTCAATGAGCATTCGGTAACGAATTGCCCTTTTTGCGCAGAAAACTCTTGCAGAGTCATTGGTCGATACCACCGATGTCAAACAAAGTGACTTCTTTTCCTATGCTCGCCATTATCTGGTTACAAGGCCAAATGTCTATGCATCAAAAAAATTTGCCCCGTAATAAATGCTTTTCGAACTCTAGCTGTCCTTAACAGTGCGATGAGTTTCCTTGTTCAACTCATGGAGGACACGCCAACACAGTTGCTTCCGAACTTGTACAGATGTTAGCGATACAATTTCTACATTTCCTCTATTTCAGCTGTATAATTCATAATCATGTATACATTCGAAGAGATTCGGAAGCATAATTTTTTCCCATAGGAGTTTAACACATTGTTTCTTCCGCACTATCATATTTATAATACTTACTTGGATACTTGGACGGCCCACCTTAACGAGTTGTGCGAACCCCAGCACACTTACCATTCATCTCCTTCCCTAGCAGTCGTCGTCCATCATGGTGGTTTTATTCGAGCATGGTGGCACATACGAGTCTCATACCATGATCTGTAAAATAACTGTAGCTGCGGGTACAGCTGATTAACTTTCTATACGAACACGTCTGCCCAGCGTGTGGGTGAGTGTCCTTGAGGTGACTGTATTCTCGTGGAGTCAACTCTACAGTGTTTTTCGTCCATCTGTCATCCGTTCTCATAATGTGACCGACCGGAGGATCTGTGTTTCGCTAACGACATATGATCTTCTTGATCCCGAAGATGTGACAGATTTCGAAAATCAGAGCTTCGAATTCCGCCAAGATACTGAGAGTGCCGGTTATATTTCAGAAGACATTGCTCAAGCGCCCTGTGAGTGAGTTCTAAGCATTATTGACCTAGTTGAAGTATCAACCCACGTCTCTGCAGCATAACAGAGCGCTGAGAGGAACGTTGAATCGAAAAGGTAAGCGCGCATTTTTGGGTGCTTCAGTTGGTTTGCGGCTTCTATGAGAGGTCCAAATGCAGCCCTAGCTTCCAATAACAATAGACAGGGTTCCTATGTAGGACCGATCCACTCGTTACTCGACGAGCGCTAAACGAGTGCATTAGCTTCGATACTGTCAAACACTTCTCATAGTCGATAGAAGTCAGGAATAGGAGCTGGCGGCATTCTCTATATGCATCAGCGACCCTGGAATACAGTTTGGATGTGATCCATACGGCAATATCCTTGCCGTGATTCTGCTCGCTCAACTGGTTGCATCTCATCCGATGTCCTCGATATGTGCCACTAGATAATCTTCATGAAGTGCTCGTAAAGAACACTCAACAAGCATATCGGACCATGGTTACAAAGATCCTTTCGGTCACCTTTACTTGGAAGGATGGCCGCGCGTGACGTCCTCCACTGGTTTAGGATTCGTCCCTTTTAAAGGTAAGGTGGCATGTAGTTTGTGAGAAGTACATGCAAATTGCGGCTTCCAGCTCTAAGGAAGTCGGTGACAATATTGTCGGGTCTTGGAGATATGCCTTTTTTCCTTCTTTCTATCGAAACTCAGCCTCAGAGAAAAGGATTTCCGGTACTTTTTCTCCAGCGGAGATTCTGGAGTCTGGGAGCAAGATTCTAGAACAGAAAAGATCGGTTAGAATTTTTGTGTTCTTAGTTCCATATCATGATGGGAAGTCTCAGTAATCCCACTTTTGTTCACTAGGGCTGAAAGCAGAACGTTATATCGAAACAAGTTCCGACGCCACTTTTCCAAATTGGTTCTTTCCTGCGCCAGTTCTAATAGTTTTTTCTGTCTGTACCGATATGGGTTTTCCAGCAAAGCTCTTCTGCAGCAGACATTTTTTAGTGGTCGCGTTAAGCTTATTGTATTAAGCTCAAGCTTCAGTTTTCCTTTCTTCTAGAGGAACTCCGTAGTAGTAATGAAGACACGATCTGATCATCTTGCCTGAGGAACTGAGGCAAATTTGGCCAACTTACAGCTCCTTCAAAAAGCAGCTCATGGTCTTCGGTCAGGTCTTCTTTAACCTGCTAGTTACGTTTGGATAGAAATGGGTTTGCAATGTTCCCATCATATGCAGCTGGACTTTTCCAGTAGAATAGGCCACGTACAAAAGTTTTAAAAGAGATTTTTTTTACTAACGCATTATATGTTTTCTGTTATACTAGTGAAATGAATAAAAGTTTGTTACATTAGCGTGGTGATGTGAAAGTATAAAAGGGTAGCGACAGTACCCTCTTCTAATCACATGCCGTAATCCGGTTGCAGTTTCATTGGCGATACTGTAGAGCTGATTACTCCTTGTCGTGCTTCATTGAAAATTAATGGTAAGATTTGCATGCGAATGGTCAACAATCAACAAATGTATACAACATTGATTCGTCGAAAAACAGATGCTGGATGAGATTCCTCATGCACACGACTGTGATTGTTTTTTTCGAGAATCTCATGTAAAACTACTCGTTTTGCCTCTGCCAAGCTTCTATTAGCTTTAATGTTAACCTTTCCTGGAATGTGTCACTAGTTAAAAGCTTGTAAAAATTAGCATTCGCATTAAGTTTAACGTTATAATTGTCACTGGAAAATGGATTCTTTAACAAAGATATTCTGTACGTCACAAATGGCATGGAGGTTCCGGACTTTGCTCATATCTTAGCACTGTTATGGTTGTAGGTCACATCATACCCCTGCCATGAAAGAAAAAGAATAGACGGTGATAAAAGTTAAGCTCTTATATTAACACATTCATGAACAATCTCATCAACCAGCTAGCTTTATTACTGCCTTTGACATCACGAATGAGCATGAAGTGATCACAATCTGTGCTATTAACAACTTAGTTGGATTACAATACGTATTGTTTTGTCTTCGAAACATGGGATTTCATGGTTTTCATTCAGAGTTCGTTGTTATTAAGATGAGCTGCACTCGGTAGTCTATGTGTGGTGAGCTAAGGTGTTGCTTCACGAGACGGCGGAACGCGTGACCCGAACCTTTCTACTATTTCATGACGATGGATTCCGTCTGGTGCACCGAATTTGTAAGCACAACAGTGACGTGATCGTGATTGCGGTAAAGTGTGGTAATGTATACGACGGCGCTGTTGTTCGCCGGATTGTTCCATTACTAACGCCATCGGTACAGCTACCATAATAAACGGGTTCAATGGGACAAGATGTCTTTCTTCAACGGCAGTCGACAATGAATGCTCTATCATACTGGACGAGTTCGATGTGAAAGGATGTCTCTCATCAACGACAGTTGAATAAATTGTCGTCGGCCATTTCCGATCCATCGACGGGAAATAATTTACTAGCTCTGTTGCCTGGAAAACACGATCTTTGTACCACTGAAGAATTTTTCGATCTTCTAAGATACTTAAGCAAATTCTGTACGAAAAATTTGACAGTTTCAGTCTAATTTTTTGGCCGACACTCTCTGAGAAGATTTTTGTAAACCGGTCAGTAAGTTTCTCAGCTGATCAACTGAAATGATTATGATGGTGATTGGAAGCGGTGAACAATGACTGAAACATCATCTTATTCCCAAGATGTTTTTCAATGGATTTATTCATGGAATTTTCAGTGAACAATGAATTGAATTTGAACGATGACCCTCAATCAATGGCTCGATTAGTACGCACATTTTGCGTCAGGCCAAATAACGTTGACTCTATGTTCACTCTTCTCAGGCTAGGTTAAACATTCTTTTTCCATAAGCTTGCAAATATATGTGTCGACCTATTTATTTATATGACCTTATAAACTGATGTTCTTTAGCTGATGCGAGGTTGGTATGGGTCTTCTTTGTCATTATCGATGTTGTTGGTGTTGTTGGGCGATGGCTGACGTTTCGGCCATTTCGTCTTCCTCAGAGCTTTGGGTTATGTGTCGATCAGGCGCATTCACCTTGCACATTCATTTGCGTAATAATTTTCATATCGAATATCGGGCCAGTGGGAACGAATTTGTTCATAATACCATAAAGGCAAGGCATAAATGATCGCTAGCTCAACTCCACACCAAGTTAACTAAAGCTCCTTCAGTTGTCGGTGTTGAAACGGTTTTGCTCGGAGAAAGCTTCCTCAGACTGACGATGGCTGATGAGTGCCTGTGTTAAAATCATGGAAAAGTCCTTGCACGTCTGTTGCAGGATCCCAAGGGAAATCAACTCTGCGAACAATCAAAAACACTCATAAAGAAGACGAAAATATTTGAACGGCGGCCAATCCATGCAATTCTGGAGAACTTCGTAGATTATACATCAGAAGAAACGAAACGAATGAAAGATGTGCTGGGATCACACATTATGTGATTTTGAATGGTGTAAAGAATAAAGAAATTATCGAATACCACCACCATTCGTACTTTAGAGAGTGATACTGTTTCAACAATGTAAATTTTCCATGTAGTGAGAGAAATTGCAAGGTTGCTTACCGTGAAATAGCCGTCCAAATTTCTTCAGAACAGAGCGCACTCTTACTCGTCTTGCTTGGCCACGTTCTACCTGAAACTAGTTTCATCGATGTCACATAGTCCACCATAGGCCTGTAGCATCTTGCAAAAGGTCGAAGTTATTTTTCATACTGATACAGCAGCATAAATATCAGGCAATAAGGAAGAACGTACATTTGACGAAACATTGGTATCTGTAATGCAAAAACAGGGAAGTGTTTTCACAACTCATCAACAATGATGAAAGTAAGCTTTTTTCAAAACCAACCACTCTTAAACTTGTCATCTGAAAAAAGTCTAAAATTAGCAGTTTGGATGTTACACCGTATACTAGCCTTTTTTATAAGTGGCCTGAGTGCTTTTCAATCGGCTAGTTAGAAAGAAATTGATGACTTTCAAGTTAGACTACGGATCCGAGAAGTCCGGTTAACTCAAGAACTTTTTATATAAAAACCACAGGCGACCCAATATTTACACAACCATAGAGATACTTACGGAGAAAGCAACGAATGTCATCCGACGGAGTCACGGTTCTAAATCAACATTTGATTTCATGAGTTAAATATTACGAATTTTCGCTTTTTTACAAAAGCTCAGACTAATGCTGATCGAAATCTATTGCATAAATTAGTAGCCCCTCTCTAAACAAGATCCTATGAAACCTCATTTGTACTTATGTTGGAAGTAAGTTCTTTGGCTCAGGGTCAAACAGCAGCAAAACGAAAAAGAAACAATAGCCAGGTTCACCCAGGAACACGATAAGCCACTTAGTTGTATTGCGAGCAATTCCAAATCACCGAAAGATTCGATCGGACGATAGTGCAGTGTGCCCTCATACTTTCTCATGCCAATCTTATAAAAAAACGGGCTCCGTTTCTTCGATGGATAATACGTACAACCCAGTTCGTATGAGGCGCTCTATACTCATTTATCGTTTTGTGATAGCTGGAACACATCCACATATAAATCAGAAAGCTCAACCGTTCAAGATTTGTTATGCCAACCGGTGGTCTGTCAGCTTCTTTCAAAGTAGATGTAAGGCTGATTTATTTGAGACAACCAAAACGGCCAAGCATTTGATCAGTAGTCACCTGAATACAGGATTTTTTTTGCCGTATCGACAAACGGGACAGTGTACTCATTCAGAAACAATCTGGTGCAACATAGACAGGGAATCAATCTACAGATCCTACTGAATCCGATCATGGTACAAAAATATGGTAACTTTTAGACCGCGTTTAAAGCATAAAAGAACTCAAAAATCCATCATAGTTATTGCTCTGATGAGCATGAAGAACGCAGCTAGTGATGTCTTGTGAAATACACTCATGGTATGTGGTTCTACCCAACCCTAGGCCAGCCAAACCTCCTTTGCCTTCGGTGTCAGCAAAGTGGTACAGGATTTGGCTAGCAGAAAGCTCACTCCGATCCAGAAAGCTGCTGCACACTTGTGGTGAAGATCGGTGAACGATTTAGCAGAACCAAATCCAAAGATTCCAGAGCAAATCAAGTGGTCTTCAACGGCATCCATGAAGAATCCAAAATCTTAAAGCGGCAGATGAAGGAACGTACACGTAAATCCAAAAAGGATACGAGGTAACAAGCAGAGAAAAAGAAATGCTATGGCCATACGATATTTCGAATCGGGTCGTAGAAGTAAGTAAATAACAATTTGGGCTTAGCAATAACTCCAACTATGTAAATAAGTAACAACAACTTACTATAACATATTGCCTACTAGTAATCTGTGCTTAAACCATTCTGCTACGATTTCGGCTACCATCCTATACATAAATAAATTTGGAACCAACCTTCAATAGTCAATACAAGATCGAAATAAGAAGACGAATTGTTTTCAAATGGAATAGTGATAAGCTGTTAACCATTGGAACGTTGAATATGAGATAAGATTAGTTAGGAGATTGAAGAAAGCAGTAGGAATAAAAAGAACATTTTCATCTATTTTCGCAAGTTTCCGCTAAAAAATTAGTGATTTGATTATCCCTTTTCCATGTGACATAAGAGAAACCACCGTAAACTAGTAGAAGGGGGCGTGCGGCGCAGTGGTTGGGAGCCTTCTGCAGCACACACATGGCATCGATCGTTGCGCTCCTGGCTCACCAAACCGTTTACCACTCTGGAGTCGGCACCTTGATACCAGACTTGTCTAGGAGGCACTGGCTCGATACATCGGCCACCGTGAGTAATTGTAAAGGCCAGATATTCATTCAGTGCGATGCACAATGAAGTCGAATGCAATGCGCATCTCTCAGGGATTGATCAACGCCGAGAGATTGAGCTTTAGTTTTATTCTTGTACAGTAATCTAGAACATAGGCGAGTAAAACTCTTGAAGTGTTCTGGACGAATTCCAAAAATCGCAAAATGAACCGCAGCGAGGAATGCCTCGTAATCATGTATGAATTCGCATGATATTTAGGACTGATATTTTGATGTGAGAGAGATAAATTGCACTTCAGTGTAAACTCTGTGCGGTTGATCATCACGTGAATACTCTGTGGAAGGCTCAAAAGAAGCGGTTACTGTGCGAGGAAGCCCTTTTATTTTCAATGCGGTTGAAATGTTGTTTTAATGTTTTCTCTACCTGGTTACGGAGGCGTTTAGCTGGGTATATTGCAATCAACTTGACCTTTGCAGGCCCTGAAGGACGTGAAATCTTCCGAAACGTCGGCTTTATCGTAGTAAAAAATTAAAGCAGTAGTTCACGTTGGCCAACAAGAATATGAAGAACGATTTGGTCAATGCCGAGGTTAATAGAAAGTCGGTTTTGGGAATTACTTTGTGTTTTGTTCTTTGTAAGTCTTTCAGTTATTTGGTGGAGACCAGCACCACAGAGTCCTACATGGGCGAGGAATGTGTCTGGCTCAGGTTAAAAAAAGTTAGCCCGAGGTATGGTGCTAGGTCAGGCGTGGTTACAGTACACTCCTCCTCGCGGTTCATTTTTCGATTTCTGGAATTTATTCAAGACACTTTAAGAGTTTTACGCGCAGAAGTTTTCGATTGCTGCGCAAGGATAGTGACTTTTACTTCAAAATCTTTTCCTCAATGTTTCTGTGTCCTATGCTGTAATAGTGGAGTGTTTGGTTTCAATTAAAAATTTCCGACTAGATCTTCTCTTATATGGACCATAGTTTTCCACCCGTTTCGCCAACGCGTTCGTTCGCACACGCTTTACAAGAGATTAGGTACACCGTGTCCGAACTCATATCTTCACCGTTAGGACATATGCAATTCTGTTTTGTACATATAGGCGGTTGCCAATTGGCTAGAGATCTAGAGTGCCAAGCGTTATTTCAATCACCGTTATCGAATTCTCTAGACCGGCCCTTCTTAAGCAACGTTTTGCTGTTGCATTTGTTTAGTTGTAAATGAAGAGCAGGATAAACGAGACCTTATTATTGCTACTATTATCTGTCGTGGCCTGCGTTTAGGCCCGGTTTTTGAGGAGATGGCAAAGGAATCATCTGTATATCGACGATAGAATAATGGCCAGAGATCGGTTAGCGAGGTTTGGTGCCAGTCACCGTCCCATTGTCAACCCTTTCACTTATGCGAAATACTTCACTAGCCATCCAAAGATTGCGCAGTTTAGGCACTGCTTTAATAGGTCTGTAAGCTGCTGAGTCGAAAAGTCATATATGTTATTTGATTCTTCGTTTTCCAAAAGCAGCACGTAGATGGCTTTGTTCGCAGCTTGTATCCATTCGACATGCTTGTATTATAAAGGGCTATAAAGTCGAGCTCGATTCTAACATGTACTCGATGTTAGGACGCGCGCTATGTAGACGATATGTGGAAATTTTAGGGCTTATGAGGTCGGC